ACACGCTGTAAACAAGTGATCTCGACATCTTCTTATTCTGGTTTTTCTTTGTTGTCTACTTCTTCTGCTTTATCTTCTTCTTATTGGTATTCTTTATATTTTTCTTTTTCTTCTTTCTCGTTTTTTTTTTAAAAAATTTTCATCGTTTTGGACATCTTATTTTTCATAATTTTTGTCCTTATCGACTTAATCTTTTTTTGGTTTTAATTCATCTCCTAATTAATCACATTTGTATTCTATGTCCTCTTTGGTTTCTTACTCTTTAGGTTTTTCCTAGCATCTTTTTTCATCTTCACCTTCTCATATTTTGTAATATTTACTTTTCTGATCTCCTTTCTTATCTTAAAAAAAAAACCTATACTATATATGTTACATTTTATTTTTTATTTAAATTTAATTCTGATATTATATAGATATTAATTTAGATTATTTTAGATTTTCTTAATTATTTACACTATTATTTTGTTCTCTTGTTATTTTAGGTTAATTTGAACTTTTTAAAATATAGAGTAACTTAATAAAATATTAATAAAAATTATTTTTTATTTATAATTAATTTTAAAAATTCAAAAATATTTTATATTATTTATATTTTTTTAAATATCGATAATATATTACTTATCAAAAAAATCAAAAATTAGCTTTTAATGATTCTTTACAAAAAGAATAATTTAAATTTAATTTAGATATTTGATTTAATTTAGATATTTCAATTTAAATTATACAATAATATGAACATATTTAAGATAATATATTTATAATCACTGTCTTTTGCGGGTTAGTTTGTCAAAAAATACAAAAAACAAATAAATTCATTTTAATATTTAAATATATATTGATTGTGTAGTAAAATAGATTTGTATAATAACAAAATTTAAAATTATGATTACATCAATATATACTTAATTAACTCATCTATACTATTATACTAATATATACCATATGACAATATCATATGAATTGTATAATAATTTACATATTTGTTAGCTAAAAAAACATTGGTATCATTTAAAATTACAAAATTCACATGATCAAGAAACTTTTTATTACTATTTTTGTTAGTATTTAGTCAACAGAAGAACTTTTTCTATATAAAAATAACGTATAAAAAAGTAATACTTTACATACACCTTTCAGTTAGAATCTAATTCGCATAGCACTGGTTATAAATATGATATAAGTATTAAAAGCATGATTAAGCCGCATTTAAGCCCCCATTGTCACATCAATTTGGACCCCTCCCCACCACTTCCCATCACCATTTAGCATCTTCCCGCATCTTTTCGCATCTTTTCGAATCGATTCGGTTTATTCCCGACAGCATCTCGGATTCAGGTAAGTTTTCTTTAACTTACTTCTTTTGATATATCTATGCATTTTTCTTATCCAGTCTCGACTTCTTTCACTGAGGACAATGTGATTTAAGTTTGGGGGAGGATTTCATCCCTTTCTAACCGCTTTTCTTTCATGAGTTTTGCATTATCTACACTTTTCGCATTTTCTTTAAAGTTTTTCAAAAACGGTTTTCAAAACAAAATACGTTTTAAAGGGAATGGTGATCATAAATTGATGGATAGTTGACTGTGTACTTTTAGACTATTCC